ATGTGCATCCTTTTTTCCTTCAGTGTCTTCGCAGCCTTGGCGGTGTCGCTCTAAGCGGGACATACATGCAGCGCGTGATTCCGACCCGTTACAGACGTTCCACTGTTCCCACTCTGAAAGCAGCTCTTGTCCCCCATTCGGGTGTGATCCAAACTAACAGTCCCCTGATTTCCTTGGCCTCTTTGAAGGGGCCGCCGTCGACCCCGGGACCCCGTGGCCCGGACCCACAGGAAAGGGTCACATATCAAGGATAAAAAGACAATCGGGACGTTTATTGGCTGATGACTCAATATGTACTCCCCTCTCCCCCGCCACTGCACAGATGTTCTAGCTGAGTGTTGTTTGGAATAATAGAGGTCTCGAAGCCGAATGTGGGTCACCATGAGAAGGCCACAATAAATTATCTGATGATGAGAAACCGAATCAACAGGCAATCTTTGAAACCTTGACACAAAATAGAATGTTGTTGCTTCAATCTTTTTCTTGATTTTCTATCATAATCATCCTATTTATAATAATCTCTTAATGTTGATATGTAGAGCACTTGAAAAACAAAGTTCTGTACATAAAGTAATTATGGATATGGTTTGATTTTTATTGAAGAATCGTCACGGTCTGGCCTATGTTTTTTTTCTGTTTCATTTCTGGCTGGAGTGGAGGGCGTTCCCTCCAGCAGCGCACCTGTCTATTGTTACAATCACTGAATTATGGTTCAAGTGTTGTTCTCGAGGCCTCTTGTCCATGCTCATAATTCGCTCTTGTCCATATTGATCTCGTTTTGTGAGTATTTTCTGTGTCTGTGTCTTTCAGTTTTGTTTTTGCGTGATTGAATTCTCTTGCTATTTCGTTTCTAGTATTTTCGGGTTTCATTTTTACCTCGCCTTTTGCAAGCGCTTATTGTTTATGCCGTGTTTTGCTGGCTTTTTTTTTTTTTTGCCTGCGACCTTTGTTTGTACTTTGTCGGTTCTCCAATTTTCTATAAATAAATATTTTTGCTTCACATTTTTATCCTTGTCTACGTTTGTGGGATCCAAACATCATTTGAATACCTGTTCTGTTTTATCAATATTTTTCCATTCAGGCTGAACAATACGGGGACAATTGTCTAATGGCGGTTGGTTTTTTTCAATATTGCGATTGATTATGTAATTATTATTATTATTTTTTTTTTGTATCGTGTGTTTTTATATAGTGTAGAGATTAGTTCAGTGCTAAAGAAGTGCCATCCACATGATTATATACCATCGTTCCATGACACACGGGACCCTGAAATGATGAAGCCACAGATTTGTTTGCATTACTGATACGGGGGGAAATTGTCGAATGGCGGTTGGTTTTTTCAATATTGCGATTGATTATGTAGTTATTATTATTTTTTTTTGTAGTTTTTTTTGTATCGTGTGTTTTTATATAGTGTAGAGATTAGTTCAGTGCTAAAGAAGTGCCATCCACATGATTATATACCATCGTTCCATGACACACGGGACCCTGAAATGATGAAGCCACAGATTTGTTTGCATTACTGTGGTAATCTGATTTATGATTTACAGTACTGACTTTTGTCAGTAAATCATAAGACTGCAAGTAAAAATGTTGCGTGGTTGACCACTACAATGTCGTGTAACTGTGACCTCGTCCACATGATTATATACCATCATTCCATGACACACGGGAAACTGAAATGATGAAGCCACAGATTTGTTTGCATTACTGTGTTAATTTGATTTATGATTTACAGTACTGACTTTTGTCAGTCAATCATAAGACTGCAAGTAAAAGTGTTGCGTTGGTTGACCACTACAATGTCGTGTAACTGTGACCTCGTACAAGTTATAATTTTTTTTTCTGTGCCCTACATAAAGCTACAGTTGCTTTCACAATTGTGACATTGTATCACTTTTTTTTTAAAATTCCAGGTAAGTAAATGAGAACATCAACTTATTGACCATACACAAATATGCTTAAAAACAAACCACAAAGGACACACACACACACACACACACACACACACACACACACACACACACACCCACACACACCACACACACACACTTTAGAGCCTGTAACCGTGTTGAAGCATTTGAAGCCCTTCCGTATACAAATGCAAACCTGTCAAAAAAACAAAACAAAAAACAGGCAGGGGCCAGTCAAATTGAAAAATTTCCACTTCATTATTACACGTCATGGTTTTAAGTATGCAATGGTGAGGGTCAGGTCAGTGGTATCATCTCATCGTATGGTACAATCATTTCCGTAATGAGTTCGTTGTATGGAAAAGGACAGGTTGGGGGTTACAGTTTTCCTGTGCAGCTGTTAATGCCATGTAATTATACTCTGCATCGTGCAGTTAAGTGTTCCACAAACATCAATAGAGAACAACACTGTATTAAAAAAAAAAAAAAAAAAGCAACATAATACGAAGGAGGATTAGGTCATGGTTGAATTATGAATTGGTTGAGGCTTTGGTGAAGCGATGTTCATTTGCAGTCTGGACGCAGAGTGGTCAAACAGTACAAAGGCATAGTGTAAGCGGAGCTGGATGGATGCCCAGATCAGCTCACATTAGCTTCCGATGAACATTTGCCCTATTTTTAAAAACATCGAGGAACTGTTTGAAATTGTGACACAATGTTGCTTTTAAGTTTGCCAAACAATGAAATGTGATTGTGCAAACGTTTGCTCGTTCCTGAGAAAGAACTAAACACTCTGACATCACCCCTTTTCTTGACCTTTGTCAACGAGAAGCATTGTAGGAATACGCACGGACTACTTTTTCTCGTCATTTCACAATTTTTCTTTCCGGCGTGGACCTCATCCTCCTTCGTGACATACAACATGAAAGCCAGTTCATTGACACACACAGAGAAAAATAAAACAAAAAACACAGAGGGTCATATAAGCACAGCTTACAAAGATAACAAGTAAAAAGTACACAATATATCCACGTTGGAAAAGCCGCAAAAAGTAACATAAGAACTTGTACCTTTTAAAAAGACAAACTTTCAACGTAGCTAGCCAACACCCTGAACAAAGAACCGATTCCTCTTGGAAAGAAAAACAACAACACACGAATCATTCCAGTTTGAGTACCTGTGATTCCACCTTTTGCTTCAAACCAACACAAACAAGCTAACTATCAAAACTAGCTAACAAGCTACTATCGCAATGGAGGCTAGCTAAAAAGCTATTTTTGCTTAAACTGATCCACAGTCGAGGCACATTCCGACACGCTACCGTTAAGTTTCATCCCAAAAAGCAGCTTGTTTCTTCAGCATTCAATGGCAGCATGATTTTTACAGCCAAAACATTTTTCTTTTTTTTTGGTCTTTATTGTAACGTGATGACACCAACAGACAACAGAAAGGGTTCCGATCACATTCATTGATCTGTTTTCGAGAGAACAGTCGTGACTTGACACATGCGTTGGTAGACAAAACATTAGACTGTGGTTTTGTTTTATTAAACGCAGCTTGCGCCAACTCCAGATGACTGTGGTTTGGAAAATGGACGCTTTCAAGTGTTTTATAAGCATGATGAAAAGTTCACGCAGCCCAACGGTGGCTTGGGATTTCAGCTTACTATGTTGATTTCTGACCCGAGAGCAACATTCTGGTGATTTGGTGCTGGTCCAGACACTCCAAATGGAGAAAATCTGCTCTGAATCTGCTGACGACTTTGTAAACTTGGAGCTTTTTTCTACGTGGTTGGATTTGTTTTCACAGTTAGGAACAAGTGAAACACTATACATCACAAGAAAGCAAACGGACTTTCTGTATATAGGTCAGGAGCGTCTGGACGGCAAACATGACTGTAAATTCCCGACAAGAACACAAATCTACGTCTTAGCTTTTTTTTGTAAACTTTACTGACCCCATTTGTAAAGTATCATTGAGTTAGCTATAACAGGTTAAAAAAAAGTTTCGTGTTTTTTAATCGTGTTTGCTGGTCAATAGAAATATGAGAATAGTTTGGAATCTTCGAAGGAACCAGTATGTTCAATACTTGTGAATTTCGAGACTAATGCTCCATTCCGGACAACTAGGAAATCACACGTTTCGACAACTTCAACCTGGAAAAGTGCGACAGATGATAACTTGAGTTTTAGGGGAACGTGATGTATCCCGACAAGATAGCTCACATCGTCTTTTCTGGTGAAAAGCTGCGCAGAGATGAGATTGAGAATAATCGATGGCAAAGAATTTAGTCAATCGTGTGCCAAATTGCATCTTGAGGCATGATGGGCGTAACAAACAACGATTTAGATCGGAAAATTGTTTTTGATTTAAGACACAGGTGTCAAACTCTGGTCCTGTGTCCTGCATATTTGAGATGTCTCCCTCCTCCAACGCACTTGATTCAAATGATCAGCTCATCAGGAAGCTCTGCAGGAGCCTGATAACGATTCCTGATCATCTGAATCGGGTGTGTTGGAGCAGGGGAAACATGCAAAACATGCATCATGGCCACCCTTGACGACCGGAGTTTGGCGCCTACGATTTAAGAGATGCAAGTGCATCGAATTGAACCATACCGTTCCACCAATATATCAACATATGTAGCGAATGGTGTTTTATTGGAGAATCAACTACAGCACTGACAAGTTAATCCATACCTAAAATGACAAGAAACTCATTGTATTATTCCCTCTCGAACTGAGTCGTACCATACCGAATGGAATCGTAATCCCGCTGAACGAATTAAACCCACTTCGAAATCAATCCGTCCTTGAATCGTATCGCACCCCGCGTATCGAGATACGTATTGAATCGTCTTTCAGTGGAGATTTGCACATCCCCTACACTACAAAGTTGTTGATCAGCTTTGTTTTTTTTTTTTGTTTTTTGGTTTGACTATGCTAGGAATAAGGTCGGACCAAGTTCCCAGTTGTCTTGAATGCAGCATTAGCCACAGGTTGTTGTTTGAAAGTGATACAGATGATGAGGTGCATGCAGATATGATACACTGTCTGACAATCTTTGGTTTTAAAACTTGCTTTGCTCTTGGTAGGCCCTGATGTCAGTTTCGAACAAATCCATGTTTAGTCTCTTTGCAGACAAAACGCTGCCAATTTGTGGAAGCATCACACTTACTTGACTATCTGGGGTGGCATGATAGCTGTCTTTTGCTGTGGTGTTTTGCTCTCCGGCGTCTCCAGAGTAGCCTCCTTGCCTTTCTTCCTCGGTGGCTTTTTAATGGGAGTCTTCTTGGGTGCAGCATCCGCCGCCGGGTCCCCCGTCCTCGAGCCGTTCAAGTCCTGCTTTTCCGGGCTCTTGGCTTCAGGGGTCCCGTGGTCAGTGGTGATGGGCGCCACCATCTTTTGGAGGCTGCTGGAGGTGGGAAGCAGTGGCTTAGTGGATCCCTGCTGACTCAAGCTGGTGGAAGGGGTCCTCTTGGCCTTCTGCGGAGGAGTGGGCCTCTCCCGGGTTCCCTTGGGCGTCGATAGTCCGTTGGTCTTGGTCAGGCCCGTCCCTTCGTTCCTGTTGATGCTTTGGGTTTTCTCCTTGAGCTGAGCAGCCAAGAGGGTGGCGGCCTCAGAGTTCATGTGGGGATGGATGACCTTCGGGCTTTTAGGAGGTTCCTTGGGGTTCTCCTTGGAGGTGTCGGCGCTCTTCTTCTCCGACGAAGAACTGTGGAAGCTACTGATCTTCCTGAGGGCGTTCTGGACCACGCCGTTGATGTGCTCCATGTGACTGGGACCGCTGTGCTCATCCCGAGACCTCTTGCCTGGCAAAGGTTTGTGTTTACCGGGCGAGCCGTTGGTGTCACCTTCCTGTTTCCTTTGCTGATCAGCGCTCTTCTCACTCTTGGCTGAGACATCACTGGAGCTACGCTTTTTCTCTTTCGGAACGGCGGGTGCTTTCGCGGCCCCCTGCCCTTGCTGGTCCGGCTGGGGAGTGCCTCCGTGGATCCACGATACCTTTGGCTTGGTTGAAGGATCCGGCGGTCGTGGCTTGGGCCTACCGGGTGACGGTGGTGGTTTTCCGTTGCGTTTGTACTCCGGGTTTGGTAAGTCTCCGTCTCTGCCGCTATTTTCATCCTCCTTGGATTGCTTGGAGAGGCGGGCGATACGGGCGTAAAGGGTTGCGGCCGCGTACTCTGAACCGCTGGTCGAGCCTTCGCTGTCCGAGGACTTGGTCGCGGGTTGATCACCGCCGTCTGGTTTACTGACACCGGAATCCTTTAGGGAGGTGTACTCTCCTCCATCCTCATCAGTGGGGGCAGCTTCCGGCTTCTCGGTTTCTGGACTGTGGCTGCGCTTCTCCTTGCCGTCGTTCACAGATTCTGCCGCACAACAACAGGAATTTGCATTACTGATCAAACACATCGGTGATGAGATTCCGCGACATGTTGTGACTTCAGAGAGAATTCCGGAGTGGATTTGGTGACTTTAGCGTGCTCTTTTGAGATGCCAGCAATGTCTGATTTTGATGGTTATCTTTAAATTAAGGGAGCGTAATTTCTCACGGGATTAAATCCCATCTAAAACAAATGATTTAAAAAAAAAAAAAGCAATGATAAGGCCATTAAGTGCTAATCAAGTCATGGCCTTACCTGAAGTAGTAATGTTCTTAATTAATTGTTACATATATGGCAATGTAATGGGAATACATCTCTCGAATAAATTTAGATTCTATGGGAGGAACTAAATGTTTTATTTGGATTTGGTGAATCCTGTTTTAAGATATTCCCATTTTGACCTGGTAGATATGATCCGTCTTCTAATTCTTCATCAAACCTTTATGTTGGAAAGAATAAGAAAACTTGAGCGCATTAAATCCAACAAATCCAGCACTTCCTGCATAGAAAGCGATGGAAAGTGCTTCCCACCCCCCTCCACCAAAAATCAAGAAGTGCTCTTTGGATTTCAGCCACATGCTGACTTGACCATACTATTTCCTGTTTAGACTCGTCTTGCTCTCAAAGACACAGATGGCACATGATGAGAGGCACGGCTCACATAATGAGTTTTGCAGAAGTGAGTGAGTCACTGCATGGGGGGGG